GGGGGTTGTTGTGGCCAAAGTGCAGGACCCGTCATTTGGCCTTACTGAAACTCGTGTGATTGACCTTGGCCCAGTGATCCAGCCTGATCAGATCCCTCTGGAGAACCTCCCTACCCTCAAGCAGATCGACACTTCCACCCAACTTGGTGTCATCTGCAAACTTAGTAAAGGTGCACTCTGTTCCCTCATCCAAATCATTGATGAAGATGTTAAACAGGAGTGACCCCAGGACTCAGCCCTGGGGGACACCACTCATGACCGGCCGCCAATTGGATTTAACTCCATTGACCACAACTCTTTGGACTCAGCCATCCAACCAGTTTCTCGCCCAGTGAAGCATATGTCCATCCAAGCCCAGAGTAGTCAATTTCTCTAGGAGAAATTCTGTACCCGTCTGCTGCGTATACAATTATCGGCCTGTGAAGATGAGCACATGCTCTCACTCTTGTCATTAAAGCCACCTCTTAAGATTGTATGGAAGCAAAATCCTTTAAGAATACCGCTGTCATTTCAGACAATTATATATGAATCACTGCAAGGAATCATCTAATGGAACAGTAAATGTAGATAAATCCTCTTTAAAGTGAGCAGCTCAAAAACTTATTTTGTTGGTTGTAAAACAAAGTTTACAAAACCAGATGCTAATAGCAGACTCTTCTGTGTTTCAAAGCCCAAGCACCAGAAGTACAACATATGGTTTTTCTAAAGCAATTATTTTAATGAATTGACACTCAGGAGGATGAATCCATCTTGCCACTCTGCAGAAAATGGTTAAATGCATTAAAAGGAAGAGAGGCACACTTGAATCCTCAAAATATCAACCCTTCGCTGTAGAAAACAATTCCCACAGCAGACTATTTTCTGCATTAGTATTGAAAAAATACTGAAAGAAAATATTTCAGTAAATATTTCTACTTAGTAACAATATATAATTCTATTGCATCAATAACAAGACCAGAATAAGCACTGCTGCTATTTGAAACGCTCACAGCACAGACATGTTTCACTTCAACATGTAGTTTTACAACTGCAGCACAAAATCTATGACTTTCCCATCATTTCACGACCAATGAAGTACACTTCATGTACTCCTTGCGGCTTTGAAAGAGCTATTCATAAAAAAAAAAAGGAACCTTTAATCTCCACTGTACTCATTTTCTAAGGGGAAAAAAAAGGTTTTGCTAACTGAAAATCTTAATCCATTTAAAAAACGTTTAAAAAAATTGAGGACTAACTTTACCCAAAGTAGGAAAAAGGGCTAACTACCAACAAGTCGAAGAATTTGGTTCCGTAAGTATGTGCATAGCTGGTTCATCAAGTCTCTGTTCTGTCCTTCAACCCAGTGCATTTCTACTAATACATCATCTCCTTCTTTCTTCACATTCATTAAACACTTAAAAAGAAAACACCTAGTTTCTTTGGGACTTTTTTCTTTTTGAACTGTCAGACTGCTCGCTTCCTCTGAAGGGCAAGGTTTCTCCTTTGCATTACTGGAACCTTTGCCAAGTGATGTTTCTCCCTGCTCCGCTTCTGTCTCCTCCTCCTTCATGTGCTCACTGCATTCTTCTCTGGCAGCAGACTCTTCTGTTAGCTCGTCACCTGCAGTCGAGGGGACATCCTCATCAGGTACAATAAGCCCCATTTCAGAGTCTTCAGTCTTGGAGTTTTCACAGTCTGAATCATTGCTCACACTCTTCTGGCTCATTTTTTCCACCTCCATTGCTTGCAGAGTATCTTCAGAAGCTCGAGGAAGTTCTCGTAATTGTCTTATGCTCTCTCGTTTCTTTCTCCTCAGATGAATCCAGGAGTTTTCAATGGCAGTCACAAACAGGCTAACTTCATCCTTTCCACAGGGAACACGTTTATGCTGAACCTATTGCAGACAACAGCAGAACATCATACTATCCTTTCACAGTTATGCTTTCAAGGAGGATCTTGTTTTAATACCTAATACTTCATACTGTACCTTCAGATCCGTGAGAATCTTCTCCACCCAGGCTCTAACCACAGCAAGAGCTTCTACAGCATCCCAGCCCATAGCTGCAGCTTTGATGGATAACTCTTTGACTGTAGAAGCCAAGACCATAAATGTAATTGGTTTTCGGGGTTTTTCTAATTTTCTTCTTTTAGAAGGAGGTGACTAGAAGAAACAAAAGAAAAAAATACAAAGCTATGCAGTATTCGTGGGATGACTTTTATACTCAGAAGATACAGGAATTAAGAGTATAATGCAAACTGCTAAAAAGTGGATGACATGGCCCAAATTTCACATCACTCCAAAAAGTTTTAGGTTAAAAACAGCTAACAGAATCATGCACTTTATGCTTGGCTAGTTATAGAATCATAGAATGGCCTAGGCTGGAAGTGACCTTAGAGATCATCTAGTCCAACCTCCCTGTCATGGGCAGGGACGCCACCTCTCGACTAGACCAGGCAACACATGGGGACCAAGTGGGAATCAAACCTGCTACCTCGGTGATGGTCCTTGTTGCCAGCACCACACTCAAACCACTGAGCTAACCGGCCCCTTAAATGCTGGCGTGATGGACAAAAGAAGTTTACGTTTGGACATCCGGCAAAAAACAGCACTGCTTCCTTCAAAATACTTAGCTCTCTATGAGCTGAGAAAGTGCAACTGCACTTGGGGAGTGCTAATATCCACATTCGTATCCGAGTTCACCGAAAGTTTACTGGTGTCTTCTAAAAGGTTATTTTCTATACCAACACATTTGGATCCAAAAAAGCAACGGGGCCACATTAGCTACAGTGAACAAGCTCGACGTAACATTCATAGATTCACAGAATGTCAGGGGTTGGAAGGGACCTCGAAAGATCATCCTGTCCAGCCCCCCTGCCAGAGCAGGATCCCCTAGGGCAGCCACACAGGAACGCATCCAGGCGAGTTTTGAAAGTCTTCAGAGAAGGAGGCTCCTCAACCTGTCTGGGCAGCCTGTGCCAGTGCTCTGTCACCTTCACAGTAAAGAAATTGTTGAGGTGGAACTTCCTATGTTCTAACTTAAACCCATTATTCCTTGTTCTATTACTGGGCACCACTGAGAAGAGATTGTCTTCTTCCCCTTGACACCCACCCCTCAGATATTTACATACGTTAATAAGGTCCCCTCCCAGCCATCCCCTTTCAAGAATAAACAGCCCCAATTCTCTCAGTCTCTCTTCACAGGAGAGATGTTCAAGTCCCTTGATCATCCTTGCAGCTCTCTGTTGGACCCTCTCCAGTAGGTCCCTGTCTCTCTTGAATTGGGGAGCGCAAAACTGAACACTGTATTCCAGACTGAACACTGTATTCATGTAAGCAAATCTGAGCTAGATATTTCACATCTATTTGGTAACAGAATCTATATGGAAAATTAAAACCAAGTTCTCAGAGGAGAGCTTGAAGCTCGAATCTAGCCCCAAATGTACCAGATTTTTAATACTACCAAACTGCTATTTGAAGTATGTTATAACTGACCCTTTCACTGAAACCCACAGGTTCCTGCACAGGTTTCCTTTTTCCTCCCTAAACATAGGTCATTTCTGAATCACATCTAACAACCGCTATGGGACTGGCAGCCAGCTAGGAAATGCCACTGCCCATAGAGCTCAGCACATCCAATGTTCCAGTCTGAAGGAGAACACTTTGTTCCACAGCAGTTAGAGCTCATTAGGCCCTTCCTCAAATAAGAGGCACAGACAATCATAAGCAAAACAAAAACTAAGCTACTTACTGGTACTTGTACATCATCATAGAAACTCCATGCCAGTGCCCACCTCATGGTGCGTCCTTGACAGAATTCAGTATGAGTAACCTTAGGAACCTATGCAAAGAAACAACAGAAAACTTCATTTCATATTAATAAAACACATTGGTTTACTGCATGTATTTTCAAATTTAAAAAAAATACGAAGTTAGTACAGTTATATTCTCATGATAGAAATGAAGATTCTTTCTGACATGGCTCATAGATGTCAGACCCACTTGAAGCTGGTCAGTACCAAGCCTGGTATCCGTGCCCAGGACTTCCCATCTCTGCCCTGTCATGTCTGTGCCCTTCAAGTTCAGCAACACAACATTACATCCTTTCCCCTTGTTCAGATCTTGCTCCTGTTCCACACTGAATATCAACCCATTGCTGTAGCAAAGGAATACTGAACAAAGGCAACGAAGGGCTGGGAAGCCAAGCCACGCCACTCGCCTGCAGATGGCAGACATGCGCCTAAGGAACACTTCTCTCTCTCTAGTCCAAAAAATCAAGTCTGAACTTCCGCTGCCTTTAAATAGAGAACTTGGATCCAATGCTAGTGTTAACTAGTCTTTCTATACACAAATGCTGTAAGGCATTTATGTATGGTAGGGAGAATGTCCAAAATACTAGCAAGGATAAATATCAACGATCCCACCTTACTCTGAACAACCAGCTCCAGAGCATAAGCCCCAGGTCTGCATAGAAAAAAAACAAAACAAAACAAACACTCTCTTTTGGAAGGCATTTCCGAGAAGTGAGAGGAAAAGGTGTCTCTGTCCTAGAATTTTTCTTCCCTTTGGATTACTAGCTCTATCAAAATTCCAGGAAAACATCAAGCAAGTATCAAGACACTCTGAATAATGAATGGAACAATTATGCTGCATCCTAGACTGAACCACAACACAGCCTGCGCTTGGTTAGAGTGAACATACTCCCAGCTCTATTACAACAAAGATCATAAACCTGAACAAAACAAAATTGGTAATTTCAAGAAAAATACAAAAGGAAAACTCATCTTTTCTATGCAATGTTCGCAAGAATTTCTCTCACTTTAATAGTGAGGTAAAACCGTGGAAGGATAGGGAATAAAGTCAAGATACTTCAAATTTGGTGCCTGGCTCAGCATCTGCTCTTCGTACCAAGTTCGGAATTCCCTACGGCCCATAGTTCATTCTTCTGTGAACTGATTTCCTTCACCTCTCCAACATATACAAGGACAGATTTCACAATCACTTCCTTCACATGGAAACTAGAGAGGACTAGGCTTTCTTCAGAAAGCCATAAAAAATGTTCTTTGCATAGCCTTCTTGCAGGAGTAGTAGCACAAGGTTTGATTTTACTTGGTGCCAGAACTGAACACAAACAAACAAACAAAATGCTGCCATTTAAATTACGTTACAATTTCTGTTACCAATCAAATTGCTAGATTTCATGTTAGCTAAGAGAAAAGAGTGCTAATTTTTTTTTTGTTTGGTTTCTTTCTTTTTTTTTTTTTTTTTTTACAACAGCCCTATTAGGGCTAAAGCAGAAACCCTGTAGGTTCTAGAATAGATGAAGAAATGCTTAAGACAAAATTCTGGAGATGGTATGTGCTACTTATCTAGTAGCTTTATATAGAGTATATTTGTGGACTATATACAAACTCACCCCCTGGATTCGAAGTTCCTCTTTCAATGGTGCTAAACTGCATTTCTTCCCCAACATGCAACTGTACCACCTGCAAACATATTAAAAGAGCATCTTACAAATGCAGCCAAATCAAAAACAGCAACTACCAGAAAGAACTATTTGGATCAGAAACCTATAAGATCATAGGAGATGTAAAACCAAAACAGCAACAAATTAATAACACTCTTATGCAGAAACCAGGACATAATTGAACATGAATTGGAACAGAATGCCCAAAGACAGACTGAGCAATGGAATCTTTTCAAGTTCTTAGGAAATATATTAAGTCTGTTATTGAAACAGTGCCTAAACAATCAAGAATTCTGTTTCAAAGAATTGGCTCCAGTTAGGTGGAAGATATTACCCCTTACAATAATTTGTTCAACTTCTCCACTTTCTTTGGAGAATGAATCAGAACAAAAAGGAATATTCAACTATTGACATGTATTCACGGCTCAGAAGCAGACCTACTGACTACAAATTTTTACTTTTACATCAACTTTACTTTTTACATCAACTAACTCATATTTCATAAGATAAGCAACAGTGAGGGGAAAAAAAAAATGAAATTTATTTTCCCACTGCTCATGGGGCTTATCTTCCACACAGCTCCTCACCTTCAACTTTTCCAAACATTACACCTCATTCTTCATGTAAATTACTATGTAAGCTCTACAATCTCCCTCTTCCATACTTTCTTGATGACTGGATTCAAAAAGGTTATTTGTAAAATATATCTGAAGTATGAAAATTGGAGTTCCCAGTTATCAAGGGACAGCTTCCTCAAGACTATGCATCTAAACTGAAAGTAAGCACTTTAAACTGCTCACATACACAAATAAAATATATTGCAAACATGAAAAAAATAGTATCAGTGGCATTAAAGGGCAATTATTTAAATTTACTTCCTGTATAATGCAATATATAAAATTTCACACAGCAACACTTATATTAAACTCCAAAATTTCTAGCAAAACTAGACCATACATCTTTCCCAAAATTACAAAATACTGAACCTCTGACTCCTAGCTGAAGTGGGGATGGGAGTAAGTCAGTCAAGATTATCTTCAAACCTTATGAAGTTCAAAAAGGCCAAGTGCAAGGTCCTGCACCTGGTTCCACACAATACCAAGCACAAATACAGGCCGGGCAACAAGTGGATTATCAGATAGTGTAGCGATAGGACAAGTGGTAACAGGTTTAAACTGAAAGAGAGTTGATTCTGATTAGCTATTAAGAAGAGATTCTTTACTCTGAGGGTGCTGAGGCACTGGCACATGTTGCCCAGGGAAGCTGTGGAATCCCCCTCCCTGCTAGAGTCCCAGGCCAGGCTGGATGGGGCTTTGAGCAACCTGGGCTAGTGGGAAGTGTCCCTGCCCATGGCAGGGGGGTTGGAACTAGATAATCTTTAAGGTCCCTTCCCACCCAAACCATTCTATGATTATATGATGCCCTGGCTTGAGGGAGTCTCCCTCTACTAACAGCTCATTATTCAAACCATTGGTAGTTTCCAAACTCTAACTTATCTTTAACAAAATAGGAAACAGTATTTTGAGTCAACTATTTTTTCTGTATCAGATTCTCCAAGGTGGTATATCCAAAATCATGAACTATTCCTACCCCCCAAACACACAGAGCTTTTTTTATTTTCCCTCCTAAATATGATACACAATTAGCATGTAGGTGTGTGTCATGCCTTACGCTATCAATTTATCAGATCAAGAGATATACTTTCCTAGAGCAGTGGTGCTGCCAAAAGGAGCAATACAGAAACGACACACTCCTCATAATTCCACATCCCCTTTTCAGAGCAAAGACTTCTCACCTTTAGAGTAACATCAGCCAGTTCTCTACTACATTTGCCACTCCTTTCAAAGTCATCAAACAGCAACTGACGAAAAGCAACTTTCTCCTGGATTTACACATACTATGTGAAACCAGAAGCCATGTTGCTATTGCATTTCTGGAAGTCACCACAGATGTAGTTACAGGCCCAATTAAGTCTGCAACGGTATACCTCTGCTCTTCAGATCATAGTAGCATTGTACACAGTACACCACAGGCTCCTGTGGAAACTATACTGGTGGAATAAACCCACTACATACCAGAAAGAAACATCCAGCTGTAAGTGTAAGAACATTTAAAACGTATACATTTATACCATCACTCTCCCTCTCATCTGCCTCTCCTCAGCCACTGTATCACTGACTAAATTCAGAACAACTGTTTCAACTTATATTTATAGTTTTGAAAAATCACTACATTTTACACACACGTAAGGGTATGCATACCTAAGAAGTAGCCTAAAGTAACATTCTACCTACAAATTCTGATAGGAATACCAATCATTTTCTAGTGTCCTCACTGGCATGAAGAGAAGTGATAAAATTCTCAAAAGTTTAATTCTTCTCGCTTGTAATCGCTTCCAAACACTAAATCCTTTATTATAATCACTTTGCCATGCCATATATATCCCCTTTTTATATTTTGTAAGATTTTGCAGGTGATAGAGAAAGGAGGGACTTAAAAAAAAAAAAAAAAAAACCACATTTCAAGATTTGCAAAACTGCAACCTCTGCAACCTTCTCAACTTTTTTTTTTCCTTCAAAGCACTACAGAGCCAAAGGCAGTTTCGCTGTGTCTTGGTTCTTCCAAAAACAAGCATTCTGAAGAAAAATGTTGGTATTAGATGAAGATGAGGTTCTAATGCAATGCTCTACCTAGACTGGCCTACACAAAACAAAAGCAGAATACTTCTTCAATGTACAGAAGGCAGACTGTATTTTCTTTGCTTAGGGCACTGATGAAGCTGTGGTAATACACAACTTTGGCAACTACATTTTAGAAGGACATTTAAAAAAAAAAAAAAAAAAAAAAAGATTCTTCCAGAGGAGCTAGAGGAGTAACATAGAGCATGAGAGGAGCAAAAGTCTGATGGGCAGAAAACTGAAGATGTGCCATCTGTTTATCTTGTCTGCAAGAAGGTCTCACTGTTTTTTATTGCAACTTATGCTCACCCAAGACAGCATTCAGTACAACAGTGCTCTTTAGTAAACAAAGCTGCAATTTACCAAAATTTGGCCAGGAAGACAGAAACGTTTAGATAATGAACAGATAACTAGCCATAAATCTTTCACCCCATCCCAGAATCAACTCTGACTGTATTTAACAGGTATATGTGGTAATTCAGCTGCAAGCTACAAGTGTCACTGTTACTGGCTTTTTTTTCTGCCTTCAGTGTTTAAATATCTCCAACAATGAGTTGTAATTGTTTAATGCTCAAGAACAACTGTTTTTACATAAACTGAGACTAATTACTGATGTGCATGTACCACTAAACAAAACAGATACCATTAGATCACTGCTACATTCCTTACACTAAAATATCACTTTCATATGATTTCTGCTAAAGAAGTAGACAAAATGTGTGGGTTTTTCAACTGCAAGAAAGCACTTACCGTAACCTCTTTTTAAGCTGTAGACTATCATGAATAATTCTTTTGACAAATTCTAGTTCTCCCCCCTCGGCCATGATTTCTGTGATCCCTCCCGTATTTACAGAACTGGGAGGGGGACGCCGTGGATTTCGAGAATTTACTCCCTGGATAAAATGAAGAACGTTTGAGATGAACACTTTAATGAAATGTTAGGCTGCTTTGTACATTGCTTCCTGCCTCAATCTTTACTGGGTAGCAACTGTCACCACCTCTTATTATCCTCCCCTCAGCAGAACCATGGATAATAGACAAACATAAGTTCAAAATAAGTACAACTGAGTGCATTCCCTACAAACTCAAACCTAGTAAGTTACTTGTCACACATCAGCATCCTGTCAATATGAAATGTGGCAAGACATGCTGGTAACATGCATCTACACAACTACTATCCATAGTGTATGGATAACATACTTAAAACATCTTTTACCACTGCCCTATATGATGGAGCTAAGTTTCTGACTATATTCAGTGGATATCACAAGAACTGTTTGGACATTGCCCAAATCACTAAGAAAATTAAATATACAGACAGGCACGATGCCAGAAGCTAATTCCTCTGTTACGCAATGGGATCTTGATTTCAGATTTATTAGCTGTCTACTTTCCAAACTAACCCTCTAAGGCAGGAAGAACTTTTGAAAGAATTCTACAGGCCATTCTCCACTTTAGGAAGGGTAAGAGTTAAGCTTTTCAAAACTCCTTTGAGGTGCAGAGTAGGGAGGGACAAGACTTAAAGGCTATTTCATGATTTGGGATTTTCCACTTAATCTTCCCTAAGGGAAAATGTTAAATTGCTGCTAGGCTCCTACTCACTAAACACTGAAGGACATGCAGCATGTAGTTTTGTCATCTCACCTTTGCTTCCAACTGGTTGGCAAAAAAGGGAGGGTTGCACATGCAGAAATCATAAATGATCTCAGATTCCTCTTTCAGTGCATCCATAAGAAGGGTCTTCTGTGGTACCTTAACCACTAACAGAAAACAGGAATTTAGTCAGTAAGGGACTTCACATTTTTTTTTACATTTACAGTGCTTTTTTAAACGATTCTATAAAAATTGTACTTTCTAAACAATACTTTCTTAAAGAAAGGTAACAAATATCAGCATACAAATAAAGACTTCAGGTTAAGGATTAGCATACAGCTTGTGTGTTTATACACAGTAGTAGAATTATTTGAGTCTGTCTGAAGTAACAGGAACTGCTTGAGTTATACTGAGTTCTCCAATGCAACTACAAATACACTTCAAGATTTTTCAAAAATTCAAACAAGTGTCAGAGGTAAAAAAATCAGAGTCTAAACAATTTCTTTTAGAGAGATGGAATTCTAGAATGATATTCAAGGAAATATACTGTTTGGTCTTTCTAGAGTGTAAAGCTAAGAAAGTGCAGGACTAAGATAAAACTATCTTAACTGAAGTTACACATCACCAAAATTAGCTTTACATAGAATCTTATTATAAAACAGAGTTACTGTGTCAGCAGTGTTATATATCCTGCATAGGAACTGTAGTCTTACATGATTTAGAAAAAACACTAGGAAAGAAAAAAGATTAGAGTTCCTTTCTGGCAAACATTCTGCTTACTAGGGTCCCCCAACTCTAAGAAATACTTCAGCGACAGACAAAAAAAAAAAATACAGAGAGAGGGAAACACCTCAGGATGAAGTTTTAAGATTTTTTTAAGGATGAGTAGTCCTTTATCCATGCATCCCATTCTAGATCAGCTGTGACTTCCTGGCTTAAGAGCACACAGACCTTAGTAAACATTCTGCTTCAGTAAAAACAATTGAGCATGTATCTGGCAGCAATACAGATTGTGATATGCCCCTGAACATGGTGAAAATACAGAACATTCATATGCTGCTAAAAACCTTATTATATCATACCTTTTATAAGATCAGACAAGTTATTCTGTTCCACATTCTTCTTGGCATAATTGAAGCACATATCATCCACTTCTGTTGCAAGAAAATACCAGCCATTCAAAGTTGCTCCAAGTAACGGGTATATGCAAGATGCCCCTGTCCCTGCAGAAGTGAAAAGTCATGAGAAAGGCAAACCAAGTCTCTGGTGCTATACACAGTGTAGAGGTTAACTATGTGCTTTTTACAAAAAAAAGAACTATTTTAAGAAAACGTTGATTACTGATCATCACTACTCAGTTCTTCAGTGAATTTTATTTTCTTTATTTAAAATACAGCATTGTTAAATATTCATTTAATAAAAGAAAGAATAAGCTGGAATAAAGTTTCTAGCAAATGATCAATTTCTTTTCAAGCTATTTCTTCTATATGACAGCGTTTAACACTGTCACAGTTTAACACAGTACACAAAATACTGTTTAACACAGTACACAAAAGCATGCAGTTATTTCCAGTGCTCCTGTAACATCCCTCTTGGAAGACTTACTGCTTTTGCACAGAGCAGGAACATCATAAACGCTCACTACAAACCCGAACTGGAGATTTTTCCCCGAACTGGATATTTTCCACTATTTGGAGGGCTGAAAGGATGTCTCTTCTGCCTAGCCACCTACTGCAATGAAGTTCATTGAAATTGTTTACAAAAATGCAACCCAATATCAAATGCATAGAAGCTGGCTAATGGACTTAAAAGTTATGAAAGGAAAGCAGTTGTGCAGACACCACATGCCGATATAAGCCTTGTATCTGTCACAAATCTAAGTTAAAATGTAAGTCAGTAAATTTCAGGAGAACAAAAATTCCACTGGAAAAAAAATAATGATGTTAGCAAACACCAAGAAAATAGTAAAGAAAAAACTGGCATGGTAACTTGAGATTATGGAACTCTAGCTTTCAAGTCAGTAACTTTAAAGTTTTAATGTCAAGCATTAAAACATAAGCTAGAAAGGAAATTCCGACTTCTCTCTATTTTGCTAGGAGTTTACTTCAGCACAAAATAATCTTCAAAAACAAGCCTTTGAAATCATAAGGGAAGATTCTACCGACAAAAGATGTGAACTAAATTCAAATTTACCATTACAAGTGCCTTTTAAATAATTTGTATAGAATCATCAAAAATTTGGAATCCCAATACCATTTTTATTATCTATGTGTGGAATACAGTCTCTTGCTCCTGCAGAGCTTGTGGGTTTTTTTGTTTCTAACTAAAACCAAATCATGTGTATCAGTGTACATCTTATAAATTCACATCTCTAACAAATGTTTAATCTACTGCTTAATCCAAATTTGTCCAGATACTATCCAATAATCCAGATAATGAAACTGAGCAAGCTGCAATGCTCCTATAGTCATGAAGAGAATGGTATCATCCACCTGTGGATGCTTAGTCTGGTTTAAAAAAATACTTGTTTTTCAACAACATGCAGGAAATTTTTGACCATCTACAACCAAGAAACAGCTTTGCCACTATTTGCCTCAATTTCTAATTATGTGTCTTTTACAACGTAGCTCATTAAAATAGCTATATTGGGGAAAAAAAAAAAGGTTTTTTTAAAGACAGGTCATTCAGTTAAATACACCTAAAACCATAGAAGAAATTTTATTGGAAGGAACATTAGAAAACATCACCATGCAACTCTCTTGTGCAGATGTCCAATGGCAAAATTAATAGATTGTTCATATAATTCACTAGTTAGAAGACTGAGAAGAAATGCCATCTTTTTTTTCTAATTCTTTTACAATGACATTTTTGTCTGTGTTACTAGCAGCCTATTTTTTGTGTACCACACAAAGCTACAATCAAGAGAGCTCAAGGTCACAGGAAGTCAAATAATTGCCTTCTGTGGCCATTCTTGTGCTTGTACAGAGAAATTCTACCCACCAAGAAGACAATGTGAGTTATCAGTGAACTCAGATTGTCTGTTTCACCACGGCGAGCACAGTTCAGATTTTTGCTTCTCAAATTTCATGTTACAAGTTTTACCAGCTAGTGTCACTGACAGTAGGCAACGAACTGAACATTTTGCTTTTAGAAGTACCTATGTCAATGCCTCGCCTAAGGGCTTGCTTGTCAGCCTCCTGGTGACCGATGAGATCCTCCACCCAGTGGATATAGTTCAGCCTCAGGGGAACGGTGGGAATAAGCCTTTCCACGGGGATGTCAATCGTAAGCCCAAAATCCTCCTTCAGGAGGGTGCACGTCAGAGCTCTCACCGCCTCCGGGTCCTTGAAATTCAGGCTAAAAGACGCAAACAAGCACAGGGGTTACCGGTGTCAGGACACACACACA